TGGTTACTCATGGCATTAGTCATCTTCCTACCCCTCCTCATACGCCTAAGCATAATGGTCTTGTTGAACGTAAACATTGCCATCTTGTTGAAACGGGTATCACTCTCCTGTATCATGCTAATTTACCTACTATCTTTTGGTCTTATGCTTTCTCTACTGTCATCTACTTGATTAATCGTATGCCTTCCTCTACATTACGTGGTCAAGTACCATATACCGTGCTCTTTAACATTGTCCCCAATTATCATAAGCTTCGTGTTTTTGGCTACTATGCTATTCGTGGTTACGTCCCTATTCATCTCATAAACTTGATCCACGCTCTCGTCCCTGTCTGTTCCTTGGCTACTGTCCTCAACAAAGTGCGTATAAGTGTTTTGACCCTCACACCCAACGCATTTTCCTATCCCGTACTTTGTTGAAAATTTGTTTCCTGGGTATTTGTCTAACCCCTTGCAGATTCTTCTGTGGTGGCCTCGTGGCTCACTGACACCGGACCAGTCTTCTCGCTCAACAACTCTTGGGCCCCTGTCTCACTTGTCTTCTCCGATTGGGCCCGAGCCCACCTCCACCCTTGGCTCATTGCCAGCAACCAGGCCCCTGCCTCCCTTGGCCCGTCTTCCGCGACCAGGCCCACGCCCAGCTCTGTCCCTGGCCCCTTGCCAGCTCATGGCCCCCCGCCTCCACATCAGGCCTCCCCAGGCCCGTCACGTTCTACTGGGCCTTCCCAGTCCGCCGGGCCCCTGCTCTCCTCACCTCCGCCCACTGTCCGCCCCACAGCAGCCTCGCCACCCCTCGTACGCACACATAAAATAGCCACAAGGGCCCAAGATGGGATTTACAAGCCCAAACGCCTCTTCCCAGCAAATTTCACCACCCGCACTCCGCCGCTTGAGCCTCGTTCCGTCAAAGAGGCTATGCAATACATTGAATGGGATACTGCCCTTCGTCAGGAACACTCTACTCTTCTCCGTAATCATACATGAGATCTTGTTCCCCATCAACCTCATTTCAATGTTCTAGGCAACCGCTGGGTCTATAGCATTAAGCATCATTCTGATGGCTCCATCAATCTATTCAAATGTCATTTTGTTTCCAAAGGGTTTTCATCAGCGGCCTGGTGTGGACTTCAAGGATACCTTCAGCCCAGTGATCAAATTGGTTACGGTTCGTACAGTTTTCTCCATTGCTCTTTCTCATAACTGGGCTATTAAGCAGTTCGATGTCAACAACGCCTTTCTTCAAGGGCCGCTTGACGATGAGATATACATGGAACAACCTCCTGGCTTCATTGATTCTACATATCCTAACCATGATCTATGGTTTACGACATGCCCCCCGAGCATGGTATACTGCTCTCAACTCTTTTCTCATCACCTTCGGCTTCTAGAAGACAGAGTATGATGCCTTCCTTTTTGTTTATCATCACTCGGGCGTTATCCTCTATTTTTTGGTCTATGTCAATGATCTCTTTCTCACAGGGAATGATGCCTCCATTCTCTCTGCTATTCAACTTGCTCTAGCGAGTAAGTTCTCTCTCAAAGAACTTGGTGATGTGAATTACTTTATGGGCAGTGAATTTATCCCCACATCCACTGGCTATATTCTCTCACAACACAAGTATATGATCGATGTCCGCTCTCGCTTCCATATGTTGGACACTGCCCCGGTCTCTACACCGCTTGCCTCCACTGTTTCTCTGACATTGAATGATGGCACCTCTCCCACTGATGTTACACGCTTCCCCCAAGTTCTCGGTGCCCTCCAGTATCTTGTCTACACGCGTCCTAACATTGCATATACCGTCAACAAGCTCTCGCAGTATATGCATTCTCGGTCTGCTCATCATTGACAATGCCTCAAACGTTTTCTCCGCTATGTTTGTGGTACTATCTCCTATGGGCTGGCTATTCAATGTTCCTCTCTTCCTATGCGAGTCACGGCGTTTGTGGATTCTGATTGGGCAAGAAATCTCGATGATCGTACATCCACATCAGCCTATCTGGTTTACTTGGGCTCCACTCTTATCTCTTGGCGGTCACAGAAACAAAGAACGATGGCACGCTCTCGTACCGAGACGGAGTATCGTGCCATAGCTCATGCTGCTTCTGAGTTGGAGTGGATTCAAAATCTATTAACAGAACTGCATCAACCGCTCTCTAAGTCTCCCATGCTTCTTTCGGACATTCTCGGTGCCACCTCCTTCAGTTCAAATCCATTGTTACACTCTCGTATGAAGCATTTGGCTCTTGACTACCATTTCGTCTGCCAACTTGTCTAGTTTGGCCGCCTCTCTGTCTGCTACGTCCCAACTGCACAGCAACTCGCAGACATGCTTACCAAGCCTCTCCCAGAATCTCGGATTCTTCTTCTTCAGTCCAAGATTGGAGTCATTGACACCTCCTCCATCTTGCAGGGGCGTATTAGAGGAAAAGAAGAAAACGAATAATAGCTCTTTTTATTTTTCTGTCCATATCTGTCCCACATCTCCTGTACACTCTCCCTCAACCTTGTACACTACCCTACAATCTCTCAACTGACTCCCCTGTATTTGTGTATAAAACTAAACTGAATGAACAAAAGCAAATCACATTCGATTGCTTTTTGATTCTCTTCACAACCAATTCCTTTTCTCAACAGATGGGAGGTTGAGTGAAGCACCACAAGTCAAACTCATTGGTAACCACTTCTACTGTATCATACTCAAAACAATATCCACGCTAATGAGATGGTTACATTGACCTTGATTATGCAATATCATTTTCACAATATCATGTAATATCATTATAGGTGATAGTAGGGTTTGATAGCGGTTAACAGTTATCGCCAATTAGTGATGACAGTAGAACTTGAATCCGCGGGTATCCTACCCGATCCAACCCAGTCAACGAAGGTAAAGTCTGCTTTGACGGGTTGTGGGCCGGATTTGGGTTTAAACTCGCTATATTTTTTGCGGGTTGGGTTTGGGTTTAGCCATATTCAACCCTTGGGTGCCCGCACCCAAGTCCATACCCCCACGACCCACGAAACCTTTAACTAAACTATAATTTCTAAACTATTTCTTCACACGTTGAATTAATCATGTTGTTTGTGAATGTTTATTTTTAATATTGAACAATTAGTATGAATGATTTGTGAGTTAGTGTGTATGTAGTAGACAATAGTAGTGAGAACTAGCGTAATTGCATCTTTGTACACGAACCCATGGGTACCCATGAACCCGCTGATACCCAGCGCGTTGGGTTGGATTTGAGTTTTCAAATTCAGTGGGTTTTACCCCGGATTTTTGGTGGATAAACCCATGCATTTGGGTTTGGCATAACCCGCCCCATTATCAATCCTATCGCCAACCAAAAAATCATTACTGTTAGTCGAACCACCAAGATTTAGCAGTTAGCTATCAACTCTCTCTCTCTCTCTCTCTCTCTCTCTCTCTTTCTCTCTCTCTCTCTCTCTCTCTCTCTCTCCTCTGCATATAAAAAAACGAATACTCTCCTTCGGTGAACCAACAAACAGAAGAGAACACAACTCATATTCTCCTTCACCCTCAATAGTCAAACCCCGTACGCTACCATCTCTTGTTGTTCTCCTCTCTTCTCCCTCCAAGTAAAAGAGTGGAGGAGGGTTGACGACAACAACAATATCAGGGTCGTCCACCATCACTTCTCTCTCTTACACATCCTCTTGTCGATCTGATGAGGAAGCCACTAGAGAGCGTCCATGGCTCAATGGCCATCAACTCATGTTTCGCAGCATAGCCTTGCCGACTAGCCTTCATCCTTTGTTTCAACCGAGAAGATGAGGAGATTGAAGTGAGTGAGTGCCGAGTGATCCGGGGGAAATCGTTTCCTTGGTTGAGAGTGGCTTTATGCCTATTTTGGGTGGTTAATAACCCTTATCGGTTAACCTCAAACCATCGGTTATTAACCATCTATGGCTTGGTAACCCGATAAGGAATTTTCAACTTTCGCTAAACGACCCACATTCTTCTTAGCGGTTAATGGTTTGACCATTAACAGTCAATTAACTATGCGATTAGCGGTTAAACCGTTAACGAATAACCGTTCATCGCCCCTAAATATCATGATATATCTTACATTGTGGACATCGGACACGATAAAAATTATTTTATTGAAATTACTATTTAGTACGCATCTATAAACAAAAGTATTATGAACATTCCATACCGAAAATTCCGAATGAATGTATTTATTTATTCTCTGAAAAACTTTCAATGCCAGCTCAACGCGCTTTGACTGGTATATTCTCGTGAAGAGCGAGTAATATAAGCACCATAAAAAAATTAATGAAATAAATTTATTTTGTAACTGAAATTTGCTTGCCTAATTAATTTTTGTTTTTCTGAAATTAAAATTCAAATCAATTGAGACCACAATCCTATAAAAATAATTCAAATCCTTAGTAATCTAAACAAGATTATCAGTTTCAATTGCAAAAAAAAAAAAAAGAAGTCTCCTTCACTAAAATTATCCAACCGTATTTATTTGGTCCTTAGCAGAATATGAGCTGTACCAGATTTTTCTAGGGACCAGAACCCTTTTCTTCCATCGCTTTTCTTGTGTTCCCCCTTTTTCTTTTATATTTTCAGCAAATAATAATTTATCTCGACTCTCTACTATTGGCCTTTGCTTCTGCTGCATGGCTGCAGTTTGTTCTCTCGTGCTGTCACTCCTCCTTCTCCCTCCGTCCTTTGCCTCTGCCAGCCAATTCCCCTGTCTTCCCCTTTCCTTTCCCTCCGTCGCCCTGTAAGATTTTTCTGATTCTCTCAATTTTTTTTCCCAATCACCGAGAAGAAGAGAAGAGAGAGTGGGAGTCAGCGCGCGGCTGGAAGCCACAATCCAAAACCTGGCCCAAAATATCGCGCTCCGCTTAACTGCTGCAACTTGCTTCCCTTCCCTTTCCCTCCCCCACCACCACTGTCCTCGCCACATCGCCATCACCATATATAACCCAATCCAACGACAGAGATCCCTTTCCCTCTCTCTCTCTCTCTCTCTCGCTCTCCACATTCCCCGTTAACTTCCCCCCCCGGTAGTAACCGTTTCTGATTCTTCGCGTTCACAATCCGATTCTCTACAGTGATTGGAATTCTGATCAATGCAAGCCAACGTCGCCGCCGCTCGCCGGTGATTCTTTCTTCTTTCGTCGAAGCAGGATCAAGAAAGCATTCTTTGAGAACGTCCGGTAGGCAAGGTGTTTGCTAGATTGCGTCAATGGCCGTCTGAAGACCCGCATAAGAGAAAGCTTCGTCTCGAGTCGTGTGAGTATTTGTTCTTTCTCTTGCAATGTCAATCAATCCAGTGGGAAATATCACTTCAGAATTTGGCGTTGGTTCTCTCTGATTCATTCTTCAATATTGTTGTTGAGAAGGATCAAGTGAGCGCTCGGGAAAGGCGAAATAACCGTTCGCGACTGTGTTTTCGCGCTCGGACGGCCTGCAGGGAAGGTGTTTGCTTTATTGTGTCAATGGCCGTCTGAATTCTAGCAGAGTCTGATAACAACTAACGTCTCTACAGGGTTGGTTTCTTTTTCTTCGTCTTCTTCTTGCAATGGCATTCAATTCTCTAGACTTTGATTCACAATGCGCTAAAGATTGCAGAGTTTTCTTTGTTTGTTTGCGTCTTTCTTGTTCTTTGGGTCCAGAAACAAAGCGCATGCCAGGGAATAATTACTGTCCGAGTCCTACCACGCCGAGAACAAGACTAGAGAGGCTTCTGAGGGACAGAGAGCTTCGGAAATCCAGCCGAGTTTCCACTCCCTCTGAGGAGATAGGAGATACTCTATCGGAAGCCGATTTCTTCTCCCAGGATTCCATTTTATCTTGCCAACTAAGCGACGAGCAGCAGGATTTTGAAGGGTTGTTGGAAGGTTCTCCTCCGCAAGATGTGCGGCCTCGTAAACAAAGATTGCTGGTCGTTGCCAACAGGCTCCCCGTTTCTGCCACTCGGATGGCTGATGATGCGTGGCATCTTGAGATCAGTGTGGGCGGCTTAGTCAGTGCACTTTTGGGTGTGTCTTCGAAATTCATATATTCAATGCTTCTTTTTTTTCTTCTTTGTACTTTTCTGCCTATTGGTCCCAAGTTGTTTTGACTGCTACTTGTTAATTGTCCTTTTGAAGGGGTGAAGGAGTTTGATGCCAGGTGGATTGGCTGGGCCGGTGTGCACGTACCTGATGAAAGTGGACAGAAGGCACTAACTGAAGCATTGGCCAAAAAGGTTTTGGAAAAAAGGCTAATATAATATTGTATCTCTTCAAGATCGTAAGCTTTTTCTTGTTTTCTCTTCAATCTGGGTGACTTTTCTCTTGATGGTTGCAGAGGTGCATCCCTGTTTTCCTTGATGAAGATACTGTTCACCAGTACTACAATGGCTACTGCAACAATGTCCTGTGGCCTCTTTTCCATTATCTGGGTCTTCCCCAAGAAGACAGACTCTCGACGACCCGTAGTTTCCAGTCCCAGTTTGATGCCTACAAGAGGGCGAATCACATGTTTGCTGATGTTGTGAACGAACATTATGAGGAGGGAGATGTCGTTTGGTGCCATGATTACCATCTGATGTTTCTCCCCAAGTGCTTAAAAGAGCACAACAGCAAAATGAAGGTTGGGTGGTTTCTCCACACGCCTTTTCCTTCATCGGAGATACATAGGATGCTGCCATCACGTTCAGATCTCCTGCGATCCGTTCTTGCTGCTGATTTGGTTGGGTAAGTGGACCATGTAATGGGCATGGAGTTTCCTTCAGTTACTACTCCTGAGATGTGATTCATAAGCAGTTCATAAGGCTTTGCTGGAGTTTCCCCTACTCCATCTGTGGGGTGATGTGGTCATATGCTTAAACCTGTTTTTCCATGACCTCAATATAAGCAAGCTTAGTACAATCTTTAAGAATGTATTCTGAGTTCTTATTTTCTGATGGCTTGGATGGTACGTTATGTTCCAGGTTCCACACTTATGATTACGCAAGGCACTTTGTCAGTGCATGTACTCGCATCCTGGGGCTTGAGGGGACACCTGAAGGAGTAGAAGATCAGGGGAGGCTTACTCGTGTTGCAGCGGTATGCTCAGATCACCTTTGTTTTTCTTTTCTTTTCTTTTCGTTCTGTTCTTGCACGGCTTGTGAAAATGTTGTTTGAATGAATAGGTTTAGTCAGCTCATGCATATTTCTCTCCAATTTCCTCATTTTCCCTCATTTTGCCACATGTTTCTTCGTGGGAGATCCAAACAACAGTTCCCTATTGGGATAGATTCAGATAGATTCATCCGAGCTCTAGAGCTTCCGAAAGTCAAGGAGAGTATGAAAGATCTGAAAGAAAGATTTGCTGGCAGAAAGGTTGGAGTTTCTTTTCCATTTTTGAGAACATACTCTGTCTAACTGTTTCATTTTAGTTTCATTTATAGAGTTCTTTTGTAATCTGTCACCTTTGTTGCTCTGTAGTTGATTGTTACTAGCCTATGTCGAGAAAGTACTGTTGAAAAAGGATTATTGTTACTAGTTCCCTCTTGGAATGTTGATTAAGTTATAATACGCCTGGTAATGTTACTAGGTTTCACTCTGATCGGAGATAGTACTTTTGAACAATGGACAGTTAATGTTAGGTGTTGATCGTCTTGATATGATCAAAGGGATACCCCAAAAGATTTTGGCATTTGAGGCTTTTCTGGAGGAAAATCCACAATGGCGTGAAAAAGTAGTGCTTCTGCAAATTGCTGTGCCCACAAGAACAGATGTTCCTGAGTGTGAGTTCCCTTTCTCTTATTTGCATTCTACATACTTGTTCATGTAAACCAGCCAAAATGTATACTTAAAAGATGAAATGTGTTGATGCACATGTTTCCTTGACAATTAATCTACAGAACTCCTTGGTCAAGTGTAGAACCATCTTTCCTTGACAATTAGTCTAACGCATTTTACTTATCTAATTATAGATCAAAAGCTTACAAGCCAAGTTCATGAGATTGTTGGACGCATCAACGGAAAATTTGGGACCCTTACTAGTGTTCCAATTCACCATCTGGTTTGTCTTTGTTCTTCTACTCAATAGCTGTATAATCTTCTATGACCTCTTTGAATTGGTTGCAATGAAGCAACCTGATGTTTGATCACAATTCACATGAAGTAAAATAAAATGACCTTCCCAGGGCGAATTAAGCAAAATATACTGTACTTTTTACCTGTAATCATTTGTCGTAGTTACTACTGTCTTGCTGCTCTGCTAAGATTGAGCCTCTATCTGGTGTGTCAAGTTTTGCTTCTTAATTGAGATTGATTCTTTTGCCTAACAATGGCTTAAGTTTCTGCATATATTCCAACATAAATTTACTTTAACCAGCAGTATAGTTATACACTTATTCTTGTTCTGTTCTGCATACTTGTCATATTCATGTTACATAGTTTTCCCCTTGTAATTTTTTGGGAACATGTTTAAGTTTTAGCCTTTTGTTCTCTCATGTTCTTTGTCAATCTTTCCAAATCACTTTTCTCTTGTTGACAGGATCGATCACTTGACTTTACGGCTCTATGTGCACTATACGCTGTTACTGGTACAGATTTACATGGGCTCTCAGAGCTCTTATCCTAATTAAAGCCATGCATCGATGATTCGGAATAGTTGTAACCCAACTTTTGGTGATCTTTTTGCATAAGAGCTGCTCTTGCTAGCAACATTGACAGATTTGCTGTATTTTATTTCTAGATGTGGCACTTGTTACGTCATTAAGGGACGGAATGAATCTTGTCAGCTATGAGTTCGTTGCCTGCCAGGCTGCCAAGAAAGGGGTCCTCATTTTAAGTGAGGTAATTAGACTTCCTAGTTTGGCAATTATATCTGTACTTGCAATTGTAGAGAGGACATTAAACCACTAAAATGTCACGCATCTGCAAAGCAAAAATTTGATTTTTTGTTGTCTTGGTTGCTTGGTATGGTTATATTCAAAAGTTTATTAATCATTTGATTGCTGAAGTTCATGAGTTAAGACGATGTTTTTTGTGTATCAGTTTGCAGGAGCAGCACAGTCTCTTGGAGCTGGAGCACTTTTGGTCAACCCATGGAATATCTCAGACGTTGCTACATCGATTCGTTATGCTCTGAATATGTCAGAAGATGAAAGAGAGAAGAGATTCCACCACAACTTCATGCATGTGACGACTCATACATCACAAGAGTGGGCTGCAACCTTCGTCAGGTACTCATAACATTTCTTGCCTTCTATATGATCTCCCCATCTTGCACTTACTCTTAGGATGGAACTGAAAAGAACGGTTGAATTCAGTGTTTGTCAATCTTTTACCTCTTTAGTCACAGCGGTTGCAAGATTTTACTTGTAAGATGATTTTAGTTCTGGCAACCACCTTAATGTCTTGAGAAGTCTATTTCTCTGCCTTGCTCTCCGACAGCTACTCATTGGCCAAAAATATTTCTCATGCGGAATCTCGTTGGTGTAGTGAACTGAACGACACCGTGGTTGAAGCACAGCTAAGGACAAGGCAAGTGCTTCCGGTCCTTCCAATCGACACTGCAGTTTCCCGCTACACCTGCTCCCACAATCGCTTGCTTATACTGGTAACTGCTCATCTCCTCTCTTACATTGCTTCATAGATTTTGAATAACAATCAGTAATGTATCCATTTTCTCCCCCCAGGGGTTTAATGGAAGTTTAACCGAACCAGTAGACTCTTCTGGTAGAAGAGGTGGTCAAATTAGAGAGCTGGAACCTAGACTGAACCCTGAACTGAAAGAACCTTTGAAGAAGCTATGTGGTGATGAAAAGACGACTGTCATTGTCCTCAGCGGAAGTGATCGATCAGTCCTAGATAATGTATTCACCCGATATCTCTAAAACTTGATCCTTTTGCCCTCGTGGACCACATTATGCTGCTCTCTAATTCAGCGGAAATTTTGTGAAGCAGAACTTCGAGGAATTCAATATGTGGTTAGCAGCAGAGAATGGGATGTTCTTACGCCTTACGAGTGGAGACTGGATGACAACAATGCCTGAAAATCTCAACATGGACTGGGTTGACAGCGTAAAGGTTGACATTTACTTGAACCTGAAATCACCACTTCGTTTCGCCACAAACTATAGAGAGGGGAAAGGCCCTTTTATTGAATCTTCAAAAACCCTGATGCTTATTCATGATTTCAGCATGTTTTCGAGTATTTTACAGAAAGGACGCCTCGATCCCATTTCGAGCTCCGTGAAACTTCACTAGTATGGAACTACAAGTACGCAGGTAAACAGGCCTTCCCTTATCTCCTTGATTTCATCCCCCCTCTTTTTTCTCTTCCATCTTAAGCTCACCCATCTTCTTCCTGCTTTGGCAAATATTCAGATGTTGAGTTTGGAAGGCTGCAAGCGAGAGACTTGCTGCAGCATCTATGGACCGGCCCAATCTCAAATGCTGCCCTTGATGTCGTCCATGGAGGCCGTTCGGTGGAGGTTCGAGCTGTTGGTGTTACAAAGGTAAATCTTTGAAGCCCAGCGGTTGCCTGCTCCTTGGGTTTTTTTCCCCCACACAATAATTAACCAAGTAGTTTCTTCCTTCCTCCCTTTAATTTTCAGGGAGCAGCCATTGATCGCATTCTTGGGGAAATAGTGCATAACAAAAACATGAAGGCACCCATTGACTACGTCCTCTGCATCGGCCATTTCCTCAACAAGGTACGTAAAGACTTGAATGAAACGATCACCTTTGTGTTGAACGTGAAAGGATGCTCCTAACCGGATGACAACTTGTATTCAACGGTGTATTCAGGATGAAGACATTTACTCATTTTTCGAGCCGGAGCTGCCGGCGATGACACATATGTCGTCACGGGCCACTTCCCCTGACCCTTACGGCTACGCTAGCCGGGGGTCCAAGCCCAAGTTGCCAGGAAGCAGAACACCCAAATCACAGGCCCACTTGATGAAGCAGCGGTCATTGTCAACCCTGGAGAGAAGTAATTTTGGGACGTCCAGTTGGCGGCAGCTGGGCAGAGACGACAGAGCCTCGTCGGCGTCGGCAGATGGTGCGGCGGCGGCGGCGTCGTCATCGTCATCGTCTCGCGGCCATGAGGGTTCTTCCGTCCTGGATCTGAAGGGCGAGAACTACTTCTCCTGTGCTGTATCCAAGAAGCGAACCAACGCCAGGTATCTGCTTCGGTCTTCCAGCGACGTCGTGGAGCTACTGAAGGAGCTCGCTGATACGGTGCCGTAGCCATGTGGTGGGATGGTTTAAGTTTTGGATTTTCGGCTTCGCATCGAATGTATGTGTTACAATATTACAGATCCATTTTAGGTTAGGTCATCTGATAATGTCGTTTACATTCACTGCCTGGCAAAATGGTTTTGACACCAAGTAGAATAGAATCTTCGAAAATTTAACTATTTTGTAGAGGTTGCAGTGGAGTTTCTAATCAAGCTCTTGCACTTTCAGTAACTATACAGAGGGAAGTGAAAAAAGTTGCAGAGGAAAATGCATAGCACGGAGGACAAACTAAAACCAAGAATAAAGTTTGGTTTATCCATAACCGTGAATTCATAAAAAAAACAAGAGTCATAATCATTTATATTGGTTTTGGTTAATCATAAATCATAAGTCATAACAAAATATCTGGATTCATTTAACAATTCTAATGGAAAGGAAAATGAACTAATATAGATAAGAGAACATTTTTTTTGCTGCAAGATGGACTCCAATTTCTACTTGAATAGGTCGGTCTCCTCTTTTAAGTTGACACAAACTCCAATGCATAGTAAAAATCAAGGCGGGCGCAAGAAATGACACATATGTCTTTAATATTGTTGAAGAAATACTAAAAATCATAACTCAAAAGCAATGGAATGAAACGAACTTCAATATGAAAAAACGCGATAGTGTCCATATTATGCTGCTAAGAAACCCCATCTAAATCGAGTTAATTAATTTTATGTCAAGGAAGAATAATGAGGACCTGATTGTAAGTTTTGAAATAGTTGTAGGATCTTATTGTAACATTTATTTACTTTAAGTACCACATAGGACATTTAGGTTGATATATTAATTGGAATATAAATATTAAATATAATTTTTTTCTATTCTCTAAAATATAATTCTAATGCAATATGAGATATGAGATTTCTCGCCTTCACATCATGGTATCAGAGCAAACATTTTGTGTTTTTGATTGATTTTCTTACTGATTTCAAGTTTCCAGAAAGTGTGAATCATCTTGATCCGTTTTCTTCCAACCTTGCCTTCCAAATTTGGGTCTTCAGCCCATTTGTCGTCTTTGACTAACGTGTTCTTCCCTCTTTTGGAGGTGTTTCTTTTCTGCTTGATCTCACCAATAGACTTTCTTGATTCAATTTAATTTTGTTGCTTATGATGTTTGCTAGTCGACTTTATCGTTAGTTGCCTTCTCAATCTCTATTTGTCTCTCTAATTGGCGATCTCTCTGTTGCTCTGTTCATCTTTCTCGACAGATAGCTACTCGGTTGTTTTTCCATTACGTTGGTAATTAGTATTTTGGATGATTTCTACTCAAATTGGGCTTCAATTGAAAAGACATCATATTTAGCCTCTTGATGACGTACTAATGCCCTGAAGTTTGAGTTCTTTACAAAAGAACCGTTAAATTATTATTAATATACTTGAACCCGGATAAGTTAGTTAAACATGGGATGAGATAGTGTCACTTCCCCAATGAGGGTTGTGAGTTTCGCTTCCCCTTCCCATCCGTCCATTCCCCTTCTGCATCCAATGGTGGAGAATACAACAAGGGACTTTGTGTAACTTGCTTAATGTAATTAATTTGAAAATAAACAATAAATGCAAGGGGAGAATATTCCCTTGCGTGATTTCTGGGATGGATTTTAGCTAACCATAACCGATGATTTTCTTCCCCTTCCATAACCGGCCCCGTCACTTTGCCGGCAATAACTCGTCGTTGTCGCCGGTATACAATGGACGGCTACACAGAGACAACGATGTCATAGATGTGGTGGGATCTAAACAATTAGGTTTTTATGGGTTTGACCTGAACCTCCTATACACAAGCAATGACGACGCGGTATATGAAGAGGCGGAGAATGGAGGTGATGTTTTCATGGTGAATGATGCAGTAATTTTCGACGTGGAGGACCTGCTCAACGAAGAGATCCTGGAGAACTACGAATTACATGTATTAGAGTATTGGTAGTACGAGTAGTATTATGTTATACTACGAGTACTGTTATGTAATTGAGCAGTGTTATATTCCTTATTAGAGTCGTAGAAGTTAGGTAATTTCCCTATTAGTGTTAGGGTTATTATAGAAGTCAGTCTCTGTACTCTATATAAACCCATGTTGTTTCAGTAATAATACACAACCGTTTCCACCGTATTCAGATTTCCTAACATGGTATCAGAGCCTGATTCAACAACCTAAACCAGAAAGCCCTAAACCTTCTTGTGTTCCGCCGGCCGCCCACCATGAGCGCACAGTCGCCCGGAATGATCATGTACAAACATTGATCAGATCTCTCCCTCTCTCCCAAGTTATTGTCTCGTAGCTTAGTATATTGAAAAGAAGAAGAAAAAAATCCCCTAGCGTCCCTTCCGTTCTTGTCCAGGGTCTTTTGTCGATTGTTGCCGCCTCCGCCGCCGGTTGAGTTTTCTGTCCACACTCGAGTTGTCGATGAGTCTCCGCTTTATCTCTTCAAGTCTGCACAACATGCCAGCTGAGCTACTGTCCGTGGAGTACCGGCCGGAGATTGCCACTAATCACCATGGTGTTTATGGAGTCCAATTATCAGGTTTTCTTTTACACTTGATACTAGTAGGGATGATGATTAGCTATCGACGTGAATGATGAAGTGGGATATGGTGATTGGATTAGCTAACAGGAATCTGTGAGTTAACAGTTTTGGCTCTCGGATTTTTTTGTTGTTGGGATTATTGGGTATTCGTCCTACTTCGTCTTCCAGTGACGTTTTTTTTTGGGATTGGTGGATATTGGGTATTCCTTTTATTGGTTTCGATGGTGATCGGTTATGATGGAGATAACAAGTGTTTCGGTTGGAGTCGTTCAAGTTCGCCTCAGTTTGGTATAACCATAGGTTTCGTCCCTTTGGTTTCGGTTTGGAGGTGTTGTTCGGAACACCTTAGTTTGAGATATTGTCCGGAATATCTCAATTTGATAAATGTTGTTCGGAGCAATTTTGGTTTCGTTTCTGATTCGATGATGCTATTCGGAGCATCCTGATCGCCATGTTGCTGTTCGGAGCGCGTGGTTCTGTTTCTGTTTTGACGATGCTATTCGGAGCATCCTGATCGCCATGATGCTGTTCGGAGCACATGGTTCTGTTAGTTCGACTGACTAGAAGACTTTTGGAAAGATCTTTTGTTATCACCAGCTTATCACCATTGACATTTCATGAGGCATTGGACATGGTCTTCATCGACATCGGTATATTTGGCGGAGCAGCTATGTTTTTCGCATTTTTTTTTTCACATTGTCCGTAGTCATTTGTGTCGGTTTTCAAATTGTTGGTAAGTAATTACCATCAATTTGGGGGAGGGTATTAGAGTATTGGTAGTACGAGTAGTATTATGTTATACTACGAGTACTGTTATGTAATTGAGCAGTGTTATATTCCTTATTAGAGTCGTAGAAGTTAGGTAATTTCCCTATTAGTGTTAGGGTTATTATAGAAGTCAGTCTCTGTACTCTATATAAACCCATGTTGTTTCAGTAACAATACACAACCGTTTCCACCGTATTCAGATTTCCTAACAACATGGTGGATGATGCCGGCGACAACATTGTCAGTAGGGTAATTAGTGGGGTTATGAATTCCATTGCGCTGGTATTTTTATTTTAATGGTAGAACTAATGCCAAGACAGATTGGTACTAGTTATTAGCTAGTGGTAGTTCGTTACTATTGGTAGTATACAAGTGGTAGTCATGTAGTGGTAGTGGCACAGTGGTAGTATTCTATTGGTAGTTCATTAATAGTGGTAGTGTACTAGTGGTAACCATGCAGTGGGTTAGTGGCAGTAATCTAGTGGTAGTATATTCCCAGTGGTACATGCACATTTATCATGTGGTCTCTAATATTTTTTAAAATTACAAGGGCGGTATCAACTGTCGTCCCAGCAGACAGGTCAACATGGGAGCACTTGTGTTTCCAAAATCAAGATGATTTTACACTCTTTTATAAGTGTTTTGTTCATGGAAGAGGCTTCTCGTCAAGAGTTGTTGGAGCGGTGAAGAAAAATAGTCTACGTGTAATTAGAAAAATAGTCTAGTATTCAGTGGTACATGTCCCACTACTAGTTATTCGTTAAGAAACTACTGGTACTTACCAATACTAGTTACTAGTACATGTACCAAAAATAGTCTACGTGTAATTACTAATTAGAGAATGAACTAGTGCTTGGTGTAACAACAAAATTGCCAATGGAACACAAAATCATAATAATTGCTAAACCAATATTGTGGTTTTCTCCAACAGAATTGGTTCAAATTTAAAAAACATCATAACTAAAAGCCAACAAATGTTCAAGCTTTGTTCCTACTCCAAAACGTACATAAACCAATAGCATGCTCCTCAACCGCTAGAAAAGAACTACTGCTGGACCAGCTGAGTATATCCACAGAGTAGTGATTCCTTTATCTCGATAGCTTTCTCCGTTACCTCCTCAAGCTTCAAATTACTTGGGTCACTGATTATATTTTTAACCAGCTCTGCAGACCTGCTCATTAGATAACTTCTTATGCTCCATTATTTCTTCCATTCACCAACAAGCTTCCCTTCATGGTACCAAAATAAAAACTACATTGTTAGACATATTGAATTACAACTTATAATACTACCACTACCAAACATTCAACAGCGATAGTGTCGGAAGTGCCTGTGATACTTGTACGGGTACATGTACCACTAAACCTGGTACCAGCCAGCACCATTGCTTCTGCAGTGGTACCACGAATCCAATTGAAAGTACCACTGTATTATACAAACAATAAATAAGCACAAGGAAAAAGAAAGGGCTGCATGTTTAGATTCCAACGCTGGATTCGGAAAACAAAAACTTGTGGGATAAAGAACCCTAACCTGCAAAGTTTTGCACTGCCGCAGAAAGGGTCGACGACGGAAGGAACCCTGGTGATGCACTGAAAGAACAAAAAAAACTAAGTTGTAAGGTCTTAGATTAAAGCAGGGTTCACCACTGGGAAACGACGATCGACGAGGGGGAAATGACGCTGGGAAACCCGAATCACTAGTTGTGCTGGTACACGTACCACTAGTGTGATTGGTACCATTACCACTAGAACTGGTACCAATACCAATACCACAACGATACCAATTCTAAGTACCACTGCATTATACGAACAACAAACAAGCTACACAAGAAA